ATTCCCCAGCCAGCCTTTTTTGAGATCCAGTGACCAGCAAAAACAACAACTGCTGGCTGGGGAATTCTGGGAGTTGAAGTCCACCCCTCTTAAAGTGGCCAAGTTTGAAAAACTCTGATCTACCACTTCATTCATTTCCTTTTGTTCTCTCAACTTCTCACCTCATCAGTTCCACCCAACCAGGATTTTCTCACTCTTCCCCTTCCTCTTGACCCATTCACTCTTCTTTCACATATTTATTTTGCAGTTTGACCCTTGTTCATTGCCTCTTTGCAACCAAACCACCTCCATGTACTTGTTTTGTGCTGGTCACTCACTTTGGTATTCAGTCCACATTCATTCAGCACCCATCCATCTTGACCTTCTCTCTTGTTTTATCACACACACTTCTTAAGTACCCCACTTCCACTGAGTTCAGCTTACTTTATGTTTCTCCTGTCACACCCACCTCACACTTCCGTATAACAAATGGCACAGTAACACACTTTTATACATGGCTATTTTAACTTCTTTCCATATTCATTAATTCTTTGCAACAGACTGCATACAGCATTTGCATGTCTTAAAATGTCTCCACTCACTTTCCCATCTTTAGTAAACTTTCTACCAATGTGTTATGAATTCATCTTGTTTTTCACCATTTGTTTGTTAAATTGGTTAGTTTTATTTGGGTTTAAATGCTACTCCAGTCATGTCTGACTCTAAGCAGCTCACAAGATCTTGTACTGGACAATGTAATAATACAACTGCGCAGAAATCAACCATTATGTCAGCATACCTCTAACATCCCCACAAACACTGCTTATAGATATATCCATAAATACATTCAACAAGGGGACATTACACATCCTTGTTTTACTCTCTCCCAATGTTGAACCATTCTTTTTGTTCTCATGCATGCTTCGTTTTCACCATACACATACCACATTCATCTTCAACTCTCCATTTATGCAAAATACTCAGCCCCATTTATTTTGTCTCATGCTCTCTCTAAGTCAAGGAATATACAGTAAACTGCCTTCATTTTTATACTTCTCAGTGACCTGCTGAAGAACAAAAATCTGGTTATGTCTTTTCCCTGCCTGGCATAAATTTTGCTCATTTTTACTTTTCCTGTCTTTCCAGCCAAAATTCTACCAAACACTTCCCCAGTCTCACTTAACCAGTGAACTCCATGTAGTTTTTGCATGTGATCTGGTCGCCTTTCCTGTATGTTCTATATTATAAGGAAACAATAATGGCATATTTCCAGATGCAGCATTTACCCATGTGTTAAAGAAATGGCACAACGTATCCATAACATTTCTTTACCTGCAGACTCATAGCGTTTCAACGTTCTCACAGCATTTATGATTTCCTTTCCATAATTTTTTCTTGGGCACAAATATTTATAGCTTTCATTTCAGTTCCGCTCTTTGACAGATCACCATCATTGCCCTACAAATCTATGAAATACACCTTCAAACATTCCCTCACTTCAGTTTCATCCCAAGTCATTTCATCATTTTTATTTTTAATTCCTTTCACTCTGCTGGAGAGTCTTTGTTCAGCCTTCTTCATGTATTTCCAGAGCAGTTCTTTATTCCTACTGAAATTACTCTGCATTTTCTCCACCACTTTTAATCTTAACTATTCTTGCTCTTTTTTTACTACTGTTTTTGCAACTATTTTTCTTTCTATGTATATATATATTATACAGTAACTTTCTCTAATCCTCAATTTTTGCAGCAGCCATTCTGTTACAGCATTTGCCTTTTTTTCTCGCCTACAGCCTCTTCCACTTCATCGTTCCTCTCAGCATCCCTTTTCGTAGTAGAGCTCCAAACACTTCTGTGACCCTCTGTAACATCATCTTTCTCCCTCTGTCCTAGCAGTTTCCAGATCCTCTTTCTTCAACTCCACTTTTCACTCATTCTGTTGGGAGATTAAACTACCTTCTAATACCTTTTCATAGGATTCTTTCTCTTTTTCCAGGTACTCTACCTCCCCTCCCCTCTCATTTCATTTTCTTTCCTTTTCTTCCATGTATGTTTTCCCCCAAATTCACTCTTGAAGACCAAAGGGTGGTCTGTCCCACCATCAGAAGATGGTGTGGAAAATGGAGCTTCCTTGTCATGACGGTATGTCATCCAAAGAACCTGAATGGTAGAAGATTTGGGGCAGATACAAGCAAGTGCTTCTTCCTACAGCCCACAGTAAAATTAAGGAAATTTCATGTATGAAAAACACTAGGCAGGATGGCTATATTTTGTCACAAGGAATGTGCATCCCCTTTCCAATGGCAAGTGAACATGAGCACGGGGTTACTCCTGCGCTCACATATCTTGCTTATGAGTTTCCCATCAAGGCATCTGTTGGCCTCTGTGGAAAATGCTATGTTGGACAAGCCTTTGGCCTAATCTGACACACCTCTGCTTCTGTTCTTATGGCCCTCCTTGAAGAAGCTTGTTGATCACCTACACAGCTGCATTTCAGCTACTGTCTTGGGCTTCTAGCAACAATTATTTTTTGCTTTTTTCTAATCGCTGCTAATATAGCTTCAAGTGCCATTTTACTGACGGTGTTTTGAAATTGGATTATATCTGTAATGTTATTACACAATTTGATCTGAAGGTGCTGGAAATCACCTGGTGAATTCATCATGTGCAGGTTCACGTTTCTGGTTACCGTACATATGTTTGCATGACATATTGAACCAACCACATTTTAGGCTGGCATGTTGTAGAGCTTTAAATCATATGATTAGCTAATGGCTCAGTCTATCATCTGAATCCAGACAACTGGAATGAATAAACCATGACTCACTTAACCATGGATAAAAATGCTGCCCTAAGACAGCCACTGTGTGCCTATCATGTGCTATATCAAAGCAAATATCTTTATGGCTTAATGACTGCCTGATTCACACAACTTGCTAAAGCAATGGCTGAGTTTTCCATAATATACAGAACCAGAAATTATTCAATCTCACTTTAGCCCAACCTAGCATGCCGTCTTAACTGAGCGAGTAAGTCCCCAGAGTGGTGAGTTTAAGATATGTTTGAACCAACAACAGTTGGCTGTTTCTGTAGCTTCAGCTCCCTGCTCCTGGGGTTCCTTGATTGGGAACCATAACACTTTTGACAAGTCTGCAACTTTTTTTCCCCACAGCAATTAATACAGGATTAAGTAGAATTTTCACAGCTACAATTCCCAGGTTCACTGGAAAGAACTTTAAAACTTGGGTTTAAACAGCCTTAAGTATACAGCTTAACATCTTTCTTTCTTTCTTAGCTTTTGAATTAGGTCTCTGTCTTGTGAGAGGTGTGCATATATAATCAGAGGGAGGGAAGACTATCTGATTCTCCCAGGCAGGATAGTTTAGAGATATATTCCTGATATATCTGTTTGTTCTTGCAAGTTCCTAGGGAAAGGGATGTCATCTCTTCAGTAGAAACTGAAGTTTTGTTTAAACCAGCGTTTCTCAACCTTAGCAACTTTAAGATGTGTGGATTTCAACTTCCAGAGTTCCCCAGCCAGCATGGGAGTTGAAGTCTGCACATCTTAAAGTTGCCAAGGTTGAGAAACACTGGTTTAAATCAACTTCTCTGTGCCCCTGAATCTATTGCTTTTTACCTCATATGAGAAAATTAAAAATGATCAGCATAACTTCCATGAACTGTTCAATCTTAATAGTTAATAACAGTAAATATTAACAGTGCAGCCAGGCACAAGAGCCAGCTCCAGACAAGGAACTGGGCAAGATCTCTGGAATACAGTGGACATTTCGCTATGTACACAGAAGCCTTTAGCACTATGTTGGTCCAGGTTTCATTTTTGTGTGAGGTCAACAAGCTTGATTTGAAGAACTCTAAGTTTCATTCTATTGATGGTTAATTTTGTGTTACATAGTTATCTAGTTGTTTTACTCTTCCATAGAGAGTGTTACACAATTTTAAATTCATCCATTTCAGTGGGGGAGGCAGTCCTGTTAGCATGGATGACTAAATCCCATATTTTCCAAATTCCCAAAGTATCCTTCAGCGGGGACCAAATGTTCAGGGGTAACCAACCTTCCTGCTGCTGAAGAACCTTGCCTCTGCCTCTGCAGAACTAAACTGGAACAAGTAGTTCATGCATGTAGAAGGGCAGGCAAGCATGTTACTGAAACATGGGCAATAACACATGTGCGACATTGTATAGTGTCACCCAACAACCCTCTACTTCTGGATTGGTTTCTCTGATTCCAACATTCATTTTGGAGTTTTTATCAGAAGCCACATAGAATAAGAAGGACCAAGGATGTCCACAGGGATAATCAAGATGTCAGCTTTGATGGTACGATCAAAGCTCTGCCCATTTTTACGTGTGTCACATATAAAAAGTGGGCGGAGTTTGATGCTCTGTCACAGCCAACCTCTTTACTTTTTTGAACACACCATACAGACACCCCTGAAAAGGACCTACCCCGTCTACTAGCAGATAAGATCTTTCATGGGATAGCATTATGGAGTCAAGGGCAAGGGAGGTGCTTTGCTGTGAACTGACCAAGAGTTGCTGGAAACCCACCTGCCATAGGAGGGAGAAAGAATCCAATCATATTTACCTTCGGGATCCCGTCGAGGGTCTTCTGCTTCCTGGCAAGGACATAGCAGTCAAGCCACAGATCTTGGAAGTGGAGCCAAGGCCAGCTGGGATGGGGAGAAAATGAAAACAAGAGAGAAAGATGGAAATTCAGGGTGAGAATCAAGGCTGTAAAATCTAGCAGGTGAGTTCTGGGTTTAAATCCAAGTTTTTCTTTTTTCTGGGAGAAAGCTTTTCCTATTCCATCAATGAAATATTGCAATAAAGAGGAAACCCTCAAATATATTCCATAGCTCGCATGCTTTTAGAAAACTTTTTTAGTTATCTATGCTGCATGTTGTTCCAAAAAGCTCTGAATGCAGCTGAATTGCAATCGTCACAGTAATGCAACAAGACATTGTTCACTGTGTTTCATGAATTTAATTTGAATTAAATTTAAATCAAATCCAGTCCTTATCTTGGCCCCACCTACTTTGCCCTAATCCCTCCCTCCCTTTTTGAAGCACAGGTTTCAGTGCATCCTTCAGGAGCCACAGAGCTGAGCTGGACGGCTTCACTTTGCCTAGCTACTTTGCTTCAACAAAAGATCTGCACGTGGGCATAACGTTAATGAAAGCCCACTGAATCAGCCCTTTTCACACGGTGTACAACGGTGTCTTTGTTGCAGCATCTAGAAGCAGAACTGGAGGTTACATCCCATGAAGAGTGGTTAAAGGAACTGGGGTTTGTTTTGTTTGTTTTATATTTTTTATCCTGCCTTTATTATTTTTATAAATAACTCAAGGTGATGAACATTCCTAATACCCTTTCCTCCTCCTATTTCCCCCACAACAACAACCCTGTCAGGTGGGTTGGGCTCAGCGAGAGGGACTGGCCCAAAGGCACCCAGCCGGCTTCCATGACCAAGGTGGGACTAGAACTCACCGTCTCCTGCTTTCTAGCCTGGGGCCTTCATCGCTAGACCAAAGGGGCTCTTTGGCCTAAAGAAGAGAAGGCTAAGGGAAGACATGATAATGGTCTTCTAATACTTGAAGGATTGTCATAGGGAAAAGGGGGTAGATTTAGTCTCTGTGGCTCCTGTGGCTAGGACAAGAATCAACTGTCCCCTGGGGAAGTCATGGGGGCTCCATCACTGGAGGGTTTCAAACAGGTTGGCCAACCATTTGTTGGGGGTGGGCTGAGGATTCCTGCCCAGATTCTACAAAGCCACAGCAAAGGGCCAGTTGATTGAAAGCTCAGTCAATGCAAAGGGCCCCTTCAATTTTTTGCACAGTCTACTGGTTTATAAGTCTGGTTCTCTTTTGTCTGTTGACATTAACCCAAGGTTTAGTTAATCATGATTTGCCAAATTAACAGAGGTTGGATTTCAAAACACACTGTACCTTACCAAGCCTGCCACATTCTGACTTAGCATGTTGTGAAAGCACAGAATTCCTAGCTAGTTAACTTTCAGGTTTTTTTGGGGGGTGGGGGTGGCTTTGATGGTTATGTGTTTCATTAGGCAATTGGGAAGAGCTGAGCAAGGAGGATTCCACCTCAGGCTTGATAACTGTTATGTGTTATCTTTAAGAAATCCAGGAGAACAGGTAAAATATCAGATGAAAAAATGAAACTATTTTCAAAATGTGCTTAAAAAAGGAACTGGGGAATTGCAGAGCAGTCAGTCTTGCATCAATACTTGGGAAGATTACTGAGTAGGACATGGAAAGATCCATCTATAAGAACCTCTTGAAAACAGGGCAGTGACTACCATTAGCATGGATTTGTCAAGAACAAATTTTCTAAGCCCAACTTTATTTCATTTTTTTTAATTGGGTAATTTTAAATTGATTGTGGGAATGCGATGAACATTATCTGCCCCAATTTTAGCAAAGCATTTTGTAAAGTACCCCAGGGCATTCTGATGATAAATCAGTTAATTGTGGCCTGGATGGCGCGTCTATCAGCCAGATTGAAAATTGTGTTCAAAAAGTGTCCTTCAGCAGTTCCTCATCAAACTGAAGTGAGATATCCAAGAGTGCCAAAGTGTCTGGTCTTGGGCCCAGTTTTTATTAATGACTTGAATGAAGAGGTACAGTGAATGCTTATCAAATCTGTGGATGACTCAAACTAACTGGGATATTGAATAATCCACAAGACAGCAACACACTCCAAAACTATCTTGCAGATCAGGGAAATGAGCTGAAAATAAGAGAATAAAATTTGACAGGGTGAAATGCAGAATTATTCACGTAGGAAAAAATAAATGAAACGGGGTGAAGGATACCTGGTTTGGAAATAGCACGTATGAGTATGAATCACCACTATGACAGGGCTGCTAAAAAGGCAAATGAATAGTTCCACTGCATTCTGCATTTCGGAAGGACTCTTCCTTGACTCTTCTGTTCAGTTTTGGGCACTTTAGGAAGAAATCAGAGAAGCTGGAACAGATCCGGGGGGGAGGGATATGTTAATAAGTATCTGAGGAGGATCAAACAGATGAAACAGGTCAAGATCTGTTGTCTATTATCCTGGAGTGCAGGACACAGAACAAGAGCCTTAAATTAGAGAAAAACAGGCACTCGGAAAACTTCTTAATGGTTCAGTGCTTGAACCAGGGAAGGAGGTGATCACCTCTGCTTTCTTGGGCACGTTACGTATCATAATTCCTTTCCCAGCAATTTTCTTTTGACCAAAGATGCTATACATGGTCGCTGGTTCTTGCTGCAGAGAAAGATGCCCTTAACTTTACACTGCACGGAGGAGCAGCGCAGGATATTCCTTCTTTCAGCGGCCATGCGTTCCTTCCTTTTCCTCTGCTAAAAAGAGAAGAGATGCTGGGAGTTTTCCGGCTGAGCACAGAGCTGGCTGCCTTGATGAATAAGATCGATATTCTGCCTCCCCAAGACACAAAGCTGGAGGGTGGGTGG